AGGGCCTAGGAGACAGGACAGCCTTACAGGACTGGGTGTAAGGACAAATGGAGAGAAACCAGAGCCTGAAAGGAAGGTGTGCAACAACTGAGGCATGAGAAAGACACCACATGCTGAAGGCCCAAAAAAACTGGCCACAGTCTGGGTTTCACCCAAAGCCCATGGGATGGATGAGTAGGGGGATGGATGGAGGGATGAATGGGTGGATGAGCGGGTGTGTGTAGATGGATGAGTGGATGGGGGTGGATGGGTGGATGGGTACATGAGTGGATGGATGAGTGGGTGGGTATGTAGGTAGATAGGTGGGTGTGCGGGTGATGGGGTGGACAGATAGACATGTGGATGTATGCATGTGTGGGTGCACGGGTGGATGAGTGGGTGGATGGCTGCTTAGATGAATGGGTGGGTGGATGGATGAATGCATGGGCAGGTAGATGAATAGGTGGGCGGGCTAACCTATGGGTGGATAAGTGGGTCAGTGGAGGGATGAGTAGATGGATTTGTGGAAGAGTGGGATGGTGGGTAGATGGTGGATGGGTGGGTTGATTGATAGGCAGACCAGTGGAGGCATGTAAAGGATGGGTGAATAGGGGATGGGGTGGATGCATGGATAGGTGCATGGGTGGGTGGATGGGTGGGTAGTTGAGTGGATAGATGGATAGAAGTGTGGGTAGGTGGATTGATATGTGGATGGGTGAATGGACAGAGAGGAGGTGAGTGGATGTTTGAGTGGTTATATGGATATATGGAATAGATGAGTGGGAGGGTGGATGGCTGTATTGATGTATGGATGGATGATGTATGTGGATGGATGATGTATGCATGGGTGTATGGATGAGAAGATGATTAAGAGAATGGGCAGATGGATGGGTGGATGAGTGGATGGATGGATGGATGGATGGATGGATGGATGGATGGATGAGTGGATGGATGGATGGATGGATGGATGGATGGGTGGATGGATGGACAGATGGGTGGATGTATGTATGTATGTATGTGTGTGTGTGGGTGGGTAGACGGATGGACAGACGGACGGACGAACGGGTGGGTGGATGGATGGATGGATGGATGGGTGGATGAGTGGATGGATGGATGGATGGGTGGGTGAGTGGATAGATGGATGGATGGATGGATGGATGGTTGAATGGGTAGATGGATGAGTGGGTGGATGAGTGGGGGGATGGTAGAATGGG